TTCAACCCAAATATTCAGATGTGTGCAGCACATTTTATGGAGGACTGTTTCCTGATCCTGGGAGAGTAGACTACAATGCCGGCTGTTCTGACTCAAACGCGAGTTTTGAGCAGTGTAGAGTAGCGCTTGTTGTTTGACGTTTCTCAGATCACAAATGCAGACATGTTTTTTTTGTTTACACGGCACGATGCAACGCAACGTGTAAAAAGACAGTATAAGTCATTATAATCAGTAATTATGTCTGCAGTGGATGCAACAAATGCCTCGTTTATAATGGGTTTTAATGTTTTTGTTTCATTGCTCCGGGACACGGCATCACAATATGGTAAGGGGCGTAACATTTACGTCACACGCTTGAGGTATTCGGCCAATCACAACGCACTGGATAGCTGGCCAATCAGAGCACACCTCGCTTTTCAGAACGATGAGCTTTGTAAAAATCGACGCGTTTCAGAATGGCGGGGCATAGAGGAGCAACAATAATGTACATTACGTGGAAAATAATGTGTTTTATGAACCTTAAACCGCATAAACACATTTCATTACACCAAATACACAAAATAATGTTATTTTTAGCAACATCATATGACCCCTTTAAGAAACCACCCAGAACACCCTAGCAACCACATTGCTACTCATTGTAGCAACAAGCTTAGCCCACCGTCTCCCAACAGTTTTGCAGCTTCAGTTTGAAAGGTTTCATCTCAATAGGATCTATCAAATGTGCAGTAACATTTGCCATTACTCTGCAAAATTTTGTGGCCATTATTTTTAAATATAATCTGTATGATTTGGAATTTTGCGTAAAGCTGAAACATTTCACAACGCACAAGTTTTTCATGCAAATTCATCGCATTGATAAACAGATGCATTTATCGCCACACTTTTGACAGTGAATGATTAATTTTTTGGCTGCAAAATTTTGCTGAATTTTCACAAAAGTGACCGCAGCCTTGATGGTCATGTGGTCACATTTGCAAAATTTTGTCAGCAAAAAGTCCATTCTCAACTGTCAAAAATGTAGCGATTTGTGAAATACAATGCACACAGCTGTTGGTCGGTGTCACAAATTTGCATGGAAAAACTTGAACCCGATGTGAAATCTGTGTGGAAATGTTTTGTCCTTGCGCAAAATTCCCAATTTTCAAATTGAGGTTTTCAGTTAAAATGACTGGATTTCGCCTGCAAAGTTCTTTGAATTTTTTTTGGCAACTGGAACTGTTTATTAACTGTTATGAATGCTTTGATGTTTGCTTCCCAGGAAACATTATGGTTGGAGGACGATTAATAGTGTGGATGAACATTAAGTGCCCAAGCCTCTCATCAACTCATGTGGGGGTTTTGTGGGGGTCTCTGGGGTAAATGCAGCACTCTTGTGTTCAGTCGCCTAGCAGTAAGGATTAAATCTGTGTGAGAGATGCTGATGTGGCCTAATTGCTGTGTTTGCTCTTTGGGACTGAGAGAAAGAGACGTCCTCCCTCAGGGACGTCCTCAACCACAACTGAGATGGTTAATTGAAACGTTTGCTTGGTGAGACTCAGTGAGTCTCATAGAAGGTGGAGAGCAGTATGGGAATATTGAGATTTTCTTGACTGTAGGTAAATTAAAGACCGGCTAGCCTTTTTCTGAAATGGCAAAATTTGAATTGAGAACACTAGGTCAGGGATTTTTAAACTTTTTTGAAGCCAGGGACCCCCAAATAAAAAGACTGCTATGTGTTTACATGTATAGAAATCTCAATTTATACTATATAAGAGATGAACTGAGTTTTTGTTTTTAATATATCCCCCCCCCACAAAACCATACTGTAAACTCCTAAAGTATTATAAATTAATAATTTTATTCAGCAAGGATGTTATAAATGTTACAAAAGATCTAAAAGAAGTATTAAGCAGCACAATGGTTTTAAACTGAGTATCAAATCAGCATATTAGAATGATTTCTGAAGGATCATGTGACACTGAAGACTGGAATAATGATGCTGAATATTCAGCTTTGCATCACAGGAATAAATTACATTTTTAAATGTCTTGGAATTTATTTTTTATTTTATTTTAATAATATAGTTACATACACATTATTCACAATATTACTGTTTTTACTTTGATCAAGTGAATGTAGCCTTGGTGAGCATAAAATTTAAAAAGAACATAATTTACCAATCCCAAACTTTTGAACTATAGTGTATTATTTTTAAAAAATGTATGAATAATGTCTTAAATATGACCCCAATTTATTAACACATTTGACAGCCCTAAATAATCCCCCACCCCCCTTCTTTGTTCCCCCCTTAATTTTCTGTTCCCCCTTTGTGGCCCTCTGGGGGTCACTGGACCTCAGTTTGAAATCCCCTGCTTCAAGTAACTTTTTCTAAAGATTTCGATGCTTATATTTGCTGTGTAACCTGCAATCAAACCAACACTGATGTACTTATCTAGACATATAGCTAATTTGTTTACCAAAGCCTGTCTGTAATCCCATTATAGTGAGGTGACGTTTAATTAATCTATTAAGATTAACACCTACACACTTCCTCACATCACTGCTGATTGTTAAAGGCTGTTGCTTTTATTCCTATTGTTAACATACAGGGGAGTGAAATATCCACTTAATGAGTCTAAATAGTCTCCGTTTCGTAGATTGTTGGTTCGAGCCATCTTCCATGACATCAGTTTCCCTTTATTTCTATATCACTTGTTTGTCATCATATGAGTGGCAAGGATGCAACGTGACCGTATAATTTCAAGTTTTAAGTTGATAAGGTCTTCTCCCCACCCAGTTATTACTTGTGGTGAAATCAAAGGAAGGGAAATAAAATGAACCTCCTACTGAAATGAACCTAATCTGATACTAACAAGTACTTTTGCTGAGCTGGCAGAAGCCACAAATGCTTGATCGTTCAGAGTCAGGTCCTCATACTCTTTTATGGAGCAGGGAAGGATCTGGAATGTTTGGGTGTGTGTCCATCTGGCTAACACATTCTTTCTTTCTCTCTGTTTCTCTTGCAGGGGCTGGTGAATCTGGAAAGAGTACAATTGTCAAACAGATGAAGTAAGTTTCAACCCCTATTATGTCATCCTAATGTGTCATACTAGTTTCGTAATGTTTAGAAATCACGCAGGATGTAAGCGATAGCAGTGTTTATTTAAATTAAATGTGAATTGCATAATCATTTGATTATGGACATGACTTAAGGGCCTTCCCTGCATTTGTTAGGCTTTTTTAACTTTTGAATGTTTTAAACATCCTCAAAGGCATTAAAATTAAGAAACAGGGCAAATCTAGTGATATACCTTCACATTTAACATTTTTTGGCACAGCATGCAGCAGAATGTTCAGAATCGTCAGCAATATGGCTGCACGATTTGGAGAAAATCTAATTGCGATTTTTTCTGATCAAAACTGCGATTTGCGATTTAAAATGCGATTTACTACTATTTCATAAAAGAGCTACAGGTTTGTTGTGGTGGTTTTAACAGCACCAAAGGAATACCAAGTATTATCACAAACTGCTACTGTTTATTTAAAACCTCTTAAACATTGTGGCCATTTTTTTTTATAAAGTTGTCATGATGCAAACATCTGTCATGACAAATTAAGAAAATAACTACAGTATCTTAATTCAAGTTAAATTAACAATTATATATAAAATCTTAAACTTTTAAGAACCCAAACACACTGTAAACAATTCTACATCAGTAAAACACCGACCATAACATTAAGGTTGAAACAATGACAGCAAAAGTTTTTGCCATTTAACCCTCTGGGGTCCGAGGGTGTTTTGGGGCCCTGGAGAAGTTTTGGCATGCCCTGACATTTGTGTTTTTTTTCAGTATCTTAAATTTTTTTTAATGGCTAGTCTGATAACACTGTATTCAGCACAAACTGGGCTACAATAATTTGTGAGCAGCATGAAAGTACATGTTTGTGTTTTTGAGAAAACAATGTTTATGCGTGGTTAGTGAAAAACAATTTTTTTTAAGTCACTGAAATAAGGCCATATAAAACACATACAGAACGTTTGTTCACAAGACTTTTTAGAACCGGATGTGGTAGACTAGAGTTTTTGCTACAAAAATAATGTGAAAATCATCCTGTTCACTTATTTACAGAAAACAATATATTGATTTAACATTTGTAAAACCTGTTTTGTGATAGAATGCCCTTATGCGAGGGAGTGACAATGGCCATGAATATTTAGTGATTCACACCTGAGAGATAGTGTTAACACTCACAATACTTTTATATCTTGTGGTTTTATATGTTAAAACATTAAACAAACATCCTGGCGTTGTGAGACATTTAGACAATGAAATATCACATATTTCAAAATGTTTCACTTGATTTCAAACATGTAGTCAGGAATTAGAAAAGTCTAACTAGTAAAATGTGTACAAGTTATGTCACAATAACAATAACAACAGATGCAAGTAATCTTAGGCTACTCATCAGAGTGATATTCTCCACAGGATCTAGCTGCGCGACGCATTGCGTTGTGAGGTAAATTCTGGGTTATTTCTCTCAGCGCGTCTTCTTCCAGAAACAAAAAGTAG